TCTTAGCATCGCTCTCAACGTAACATTTGACCCGACCCAACCCACAGAGCCCGGTGACCCCGACCAAAAAGAACCCCGTCAGAGATCCACAGACAAAGCCATTAAAAACGCCATCAATGCGACCCAAAGGCAAAGCGGGTAACGCATGAGAGTGCGCTTAGAAAAAATATAGTATGATCCGGTATTGGCTATTGAATATTATTGAAATGAGATTTCATTTTATTCTGACTCAGCAGAAATGCATTTGTACAAACATCAACTAATTTAAGCTTATTATTTATTGGAAGGTCACACTGTGCCCTGCAATGTAATTTTATAGTTCTACGGTCACACTGTATGGATTATTAATCTTGTTACTGATGATCTGTATACATTATTTATACAGTACATACAATTATAGATTATTTTTTCTGGCTTTTACTTCGCAGTGTATTGAACGCTGAAATGTTGAGAATAATCCAAAACGGAATATCCAATATGGCATACCGAAAATACCCGAAAGCAAAACCAATTCCAATTCAAAAACAAATCCATTGTAAATGCGCTTGTCGTCGGTGAACGGTTTTCTCCTTTATTTCTTTTTTTTTTTGGGTTTGGTGGTGTAGTGTGGGTGGGCGTTTGGCATAATAATAACCGCTAACTTGTCACCTTGCCACCTTGCCGCCGTCCGCACTTTTATTACGACCGGACCGAGAACTCGTAAAAAAGGACCTCAGACAAAAAATTACGTGTATCCTTTTTCTAATCGCAAATGCGTGCCCAGGATGGCGAAACGGAGTGGGAAATGGAGTGGGAGTGGGGTTTTTAGGTTTTAGCCGACCATACAGCGAACTATTACTTTTATTTCCTCGGTGGATAGCAATTGGTTTGCCTTAGCTTCAGCTCCAGCCTTCGGTCCCTGTCACTTTGTGGCCCAGTCCCATTGTGGCTTAGTATTCTGGCCGGGGTTTCCGAATGGGGAGCTGTGCGGTTTTGTGTCGCATACAAAGTGATAACGAAATAAATAAATAATAAATTTCGTTTTTATTTCAACGCAGTGTCTCGCACGATTTTTAGCAAATTTTCCCCGGCACCGCCCACATAAATAAATAGCTGTGTGAAAAGACTGAGACTGGTGAAAAAAAAGGTTCTGTCATGAAGTTTGTCGCTTGGTTAGTTGGGAATATGGGACCTGGTCGCCAACAACGATATGGTCAAAATGTAATAACGCTCGAGTATATACACAATATATATATGTATATATATATTTAATATGTCCGTCGAAGGCACCGAGCAGTGCATAAATTTTCGGGAATTTTGAGTAGGGACAGGAAAAAGTCAGAGTCCGGAGTCCGGAGTCCGGAGTCAAGTGCTGATTCAGTCGCCTGAGTTATGGGCCACTATGGCACCCAGAAATTGTCTTTGGCTGCGGACCGAATGAATGTTATGTTTATTCAGCAAGTGGCTGGCATGCAGAACCCTCGAAACGAATGAGACCCGTATTTATGAGTACTAAACAAATAAAGGAGTTACACTGGAAGGCCCCGGCCATTCATAACGCTGGAATAGCTCATTTGGAAGTCGTTGCTTTGAATGATTAGACCACCCACCCCCCATTCGCTGTTTCCTTTTTATAAAAATGCGAAGGTCAGAGAATATTGCAAAAAAAAAAACTGATGGAGCTGGGCAATTATTCAAGGGTGTTGCTCATTTAAATTAATGTTATTTTTTAACCGAGTTCTTGCCTAAGAAGTTCATTTTAAAGCCAACTAAATTTTGTTTAATAATTTCTTAAATAAAAGTTTATTAAAAAGCCAGAGGGGTATTTTAAACTTATACTTTAGGCAAATAAATAATAATGATTAAAAGTAACTATTATTGGCTTAACAATACTTAATTTTCCAATTTTTTTACAATTATTTTTGTCTGGTTATTGAGTTAGATAAACAAATATGCTTTTATATTTGTGTAAGTTTTTTAATTTGGCTAATGCAATATTCAATAAGAATGTTTGGCTTCCTTAAGCTTCTCTGCAACTGAGTTATTTTTCAATGATTAATGCACAATAATTCCTGCAGAATGGCCAACAGTTGTGGATTTATGAGGATGAAAGCCCGACATTTCTGTCACTAAATGGAGGTGTACTGAATATGCATTCACAACGAACCCCATTCAGTTGGATGCGAACCGCAGATTTTCAGGGCGGAGCGTCAAACGAATGCCAGGCAAAAACTCGATGGCAGCTGACCAACACAAGAGGGGCAAAAAAAAAAAAGGTGGGGGGATAAAGGGTTAATGGTGGGTAAACACTGAGCGAAAACCTGGTCGAGGAATGGGGGGACACTACAGTGCATATCCCCTGGCTGCTGGATAACTTTGTCATGTTGTCACATAGCAGCAAATCCCAATGCCTGTCTGCTGTTCCCTTTGCCAGTTGGTCTACCAGCCACGCCCCCTTTGAGCCACCCTTAAGGCCAACCCCCCCCCCTTCCGCTCCCCATTCCCCTCCCTTTGGAGCCTCAAATGAGGTCTGTGGAATGAACATCAGCGAAATCATTTGGCGAGCCACAAAATCGCATCAAAATATTGCGTATGTGCGTGCCGAGCCAGCAAGACTTTTCCCCTGTGTGTGTGTGTGTATTGTGTATGTGCCTACTCCCTTTGTGCGTGTGCGTGAGTGTGGGCTTATATGGGCGGTTGTGGGCGTGGCAGAACTACCGAGCTGGGAGTAATCATGTATCGCTATTCTAAACACACTGAAGAGCTCCAAATGAGCCGAGATTTGTCCCCGCCAATAAAATGTGAGGCATATCGACTGAGAGTTTCACTAAAGATATATATTTAAAAGTAAAGATCAAAGTCAGATTAATGGTAACTTATAAAGCTTCTAGAACTTCAGTTCAATAAAAAACCCATTCAACTAATCTAATTAATTTAAAAATAAACAAACTCGCATTAATAAATTTGTTACTTATGAAAATTCCCGTAAGATGTTAGTACTTGTTAAATATTTTGGGTATTTTTAACTTATTTACAAATTAGTTGTACCTAATTGTATTGATAATTATATAATCTATTTTATAACAAAAATATAACATATATTATATAGATATTTAAAGTTAATTTGCATTCGAACTATAGCCACATTTTATCCCCTTGACTTGTGTATATTAGTTGTCTCTTAGAGTCACATTTTCCAGTTAAGTGTCGTAACATTTTTTGATTTAGTTTTACGCGACATATGCCGCCGCTTATTCCCTACATTTTACACCGGCTTTTCCCCCAGATTTTCCGCCGCCTTTCCGCTTTCATTTTGCTTATTGTGAGAGGCACCTGTTTCGACTTTATTTAGGCCATTATTTTCTATACTGTCAATACTTTTGTACTCAACGCCACCTCCACCTCCACTTCCATCGCCCCGCCAACTCTGCTCATCAGTTTTGTCTGGTAATTTGCATTTAAATTTGCGAATGTTTTGCCTTTTTCTCGTTTTTCTCCTGCCAAACAAAAGGCAGTGAACACAAAATCCGTGGACTGTCGGTGGAGGGGATTTTGTGGGCTGATGGTGATATAGGAGTACGGATAGGACAAGGATTCCTTTATTTGGAGGGCTGGGGAGGGGGCGTGTTATCAGAGCGAGTTGACAACTTTGCAATGCGTTTCGTTTCGCTTAGATTTGTTTAATATTTGGCCGCAGGCCGTCGATTTCTGGAGAACCCAACTCAAAAAAAAAAAAAAAAGAAACAGAAACAAAATAAACTACAACAAAGTTGAGAACAGCAGCGAGAAATGGGCGAAAGTCTGACCACGCCCTCGTCCTTGGCGGCGCCTTTCACCGGCTTTGATGTTTGTGTTGTGTTTTTCGTGGCCAAAGCGGAAAAAAGAGCGGAAAGAAAAAGTGCGAACTTGGCTCGAATTTGGCGTAGAACTTGGGCGGTGGAAAATCGGTGGAAAATAAAGAAAAAGGCCAGGCCACTGCCAAATATTAAATAACCTTTCGGTTATTGGCTTAGTCATGGAGTATTCTTCCATTTTCGGCAGAAATACCTCCCCGAAATCCTGTCATTCCATGTTCTTCGTTACCATTTCGTTTTATTGCCACAAATTTGGTTTGATAAGCCATGGGCGAACTTTTTACAATGGACAGTTTTTGGGCCATTTCGCATTCCAAGAACCTTTTGGTTTTTTTTTCTCTTTATTTTGGGTAACCCTCTTATTGGATCGACCTTTAGTAAAACTTTTGCCCAAACCCCGCCAACCCGCAAAAATTTGACATAAAAGCTCATTAACGTGATATAAATTAGATTTTGGGTGTTAGTGCAGAACATCGTTGGATACACTTGGCAACACTTGGCGGCCTGGTTAATGGTGGAAAGTGGGTGGCAACCCTGCTCGTTAAAAGTAGTAGTTTTTTAAGGACCCCTCAAAACTTTGGTGGTGGTCGTGGGTAAAGGTTCCTATTATGTTTTATTGCCATTGATTATGGGTCGGTCCTCAGCTTTTTTGGGGGAAAAAGGTAATTGTAGCATCATGTGATGATTATCCACTTCAGCTTGAGCAATCGCCCATTCCCCTCGATTTCTGGCTGCCACTTTCGCTTAATGCCTTTAAAATCACCTCGGAATAAGCTTCACTCAACGGAGGGGGAATTTTGGCCATGGTTAACACTCCCTCTCATCTTGTTCGCACCGCGCTTTCCACTCTCCCACACTGAGAGAAAATTGATCTGGTTTTATAAATAATAGAGGCTTAAAAGATCCTTAAGTTTCCTGCTTAATTTGGGAGTACAGCTTGACATTGACTATACTTAACTTTATTATTTACCTTTACTTAGCTTGTATATTTCAGTAATATAAATATTTATTGTTTCCATAAAAATAAATACATATTCTAAGATAAAACTTCGAGCTAAAAGTAAGTTTTTAAGTTCGCTAGGGATGTTCCTATATTGTACATTTCAATCGTTTTAAAAATCATCACACTTAAATAATAATTTAATGGTTTGCTTAATTTTATTTCAGACAAAATCGGTAAAGCTTGTGAAGAGCTCATAAAAGCTAGCTTCAGGTAAACAAATTATTGACAATTGAAACATTTTTATAATCAAGCTAATAACAGCTTGAAAAATCTTTAAAGAATTCTTTAAATTTTACAATAAAAATGGTGAATGTTTTTATTTTACAAATTAATAATACACCTGTTTTGCGATGTGTTAAAAGCGATAGAGGTAATTTTTCTTGGGCAACTAAATTGATTTCCCTTTTGGGCTATCAATCTTAATTCTCAGTGTAGAGCGAAGCGTCTCTTATTGTTTTCGACTTGGCCCTTTCTAGTCGAGTCGTCTCTTTTATTGAGCTGCTGCCCGGGAAAATCGCAAATAGCCATAAACGTGTACATCAGACTTTGCTTTGGTTCGCTTGGCACCAGCTGCCAGTACCAGTGGGCCATCCCCCCCCTCCTCAAAATAGCTCTCTATAGAGGACCCTTTCACCCACGACCGTGGCTCATACTTGAACGCATTGTTGTTATAGCCATCTAATATTGGATTTGTTATTGTTACTTCTTCGTTTGCCCTTTGTTTTGTCTTTGCCCATTTATGTTTTTTATTTTTTATTATATATGCACAAACAGTATTCATACAGCAGAATTGGATAGGTTTGATGCCCACGGCCCACGACTCGTGCTTGTTGTTTCAGGCGCCCCAAACTCTTATATTATTTATTTATTTATTTTTATTTTATTTTCTACGTATTTTATTTTCACTGGCTGATGGTGCTGCTTTGCTTTGCTTTTGGGCATGGGTTCGGGTGCGGGCTTCCGACCGCTGCTAAGCCCGAGATTTATGTACTAGAAGCACGTTGAAATGCAAACGCGGGCAATGGAAATAAAATAAAATACATTTTATTATTTATATTTGTCGTGACTTCGATTTATTATACGGCCATTGCCGTATAGAAAGTCTAGTTGGATGCTCAGATAAACTCCGGGGATCAGACACGGGGCATATGTCTTACCTAAACCCCCAGTGTCTGTGTTTGGTGAACCCATATTTTCATTTTATAATATATATATTGGTGTTATATATTCATTGCATTGCTTGGGGGAGCAAATGTTGATACTGTCCGTTTAAACTGCAAAAAGAAATAGGAGTCTTTTTATGGATGTTTTTGCAGGAGTGGATGGCCTTGAATACGCTAAATTGGCTTATCTAAGAAGTTTCTTGAGACAATTTGAATGGGCGTTTTCAGCTATCTTATTTCAATTTTTATGTTACGTATACGCAACATTGAGTTTTTAGTGAGCCCAAGCACTGTAATATTTTGTTACATTTTATAATTAGTCTTTATTTACTTTTAACCTTTTTTTATTTTAAACTAAAAAATTATGATTAGTTTTTGGTTTTATTCTCTGTTTGTTTGGATAAAAATATTTTTTTTCAGTTTCATTAAAACAGCGCGCAGAAAGTAGGCAACGCTTTTTTCGTAATGAAATTACGTATACGCACTGTTCATATGGGAAATATATGTACATTTGCAGTGTTCGTGTTGCTTGGTCCCTTATTGAACTAAAATATAAAAAAGTCTTTTAATAAAGTAAATGTTATATATTTGCTGCATATTTTGTACTGAACCAAATCAATTTGAATAAAAAGTAGGCAACAGTTTTTCATAGCTACTAAATTACGTATTCGCACTGTTAGTATTGGAATTTTAAATATAATTTATTAGCTTGGTCTTGTTTTATATTTAAAACAAATTTTTTGGTAGCAACTTTGCTTAATTGATTTAAGTGAAAACATAATTATTTTCGAAAAAAATACATCGAATAAAACAAAGTGTATATTTTGAATAGACAAAAAGACAGCAACTCGAACAATAGTTTCTTTGTTGATAATAAATATAGCAATGGTAATAAAACGTATTTTTGCTTTTCGTTTTGGTGATATTTTTAGATTCATTGTGCTTTCTTTTTATGTTATGGATAGGTTGAATACAAATGCGTTTAACATTTTTCTTGACTTTCTTGTTGAATACTTTTCATGTCCAAAAATGGCAGTGGGGGAAAATGATTTTTTTGTGAAGTGCAGATCTTTTTTTTTCGTCCCCACGCCAATTTCTAAGTACTCAAAGTTGGGAAGGGACTCTCTCCCGATTCAATTAGAATGCCAAAAATCATGTCCTCAGCCATTATAATTACTTCCGTCCATTTTCGGCCACTTCCACTCCACAAGTCTAAGCTCATTAGCAGGACAAAAAACTTTGTCCGATGCTTCTCCAGCTGACCGAAACAGACACGGTATGGAATGGAATGGAATCGGCCAAAAGTGCCAGGGAAGTGGAACAAAACTCGAATGCTAATGACAAAAATAACGAGATTAGGACGGGGGTGAGGGAAAAAAACAAATTGGGAAAGAGGGAGCGGTAAGCTGAAACCCAAATTGAAGCAAATCAACAAATTAGCCTTGTCAAACTGCGTGGCAAAATCGCGGGCGAAATGGTTGGGTGGCTGGAATGACCCCAAGTGGAATGCCATTGCCTGCCAGCTCCAGTCAATCTGTCAATATTTACTCATTTCATTTAGTCATTTTCAATTTATAACCATTCAATGGAATTCGCCTCTCACCCCCTGTCACGCATCAATCGCTGTCTTAGCCTCCTTTTTCCGTTTTCCTCATTTTGCGTCCCCGCACGCACTACAATCCTCGTCCCTCGTCCTTCGTCCTTTTTGGCGTTAATTTCCCAGCTACTTATGCAGAGAGGAAAATGCCTCCGGCCAGGACATCCATCAGTCAGTCGGCGGGGGAGTGGGAAAATCGGCTGGGGGACGTGCTGATGATTCCCCGGGGCAGGATATGTCTTGGAAGAGTGTATCTGCCTCGCTGAGTGCGGCACTTCGCATTTCCTATGCGAACTGATCGGCCTGCGAAGATAACCCTGTGAAAATTCCCATATTGGTATCCCATGTAAGTGGCTATTTTTTAAAAACGCTTGCTGAAGATTGCTGTCGTATATCTTCATAAATCGATTGAGGGGGTTTCAAAAAGCCTACGCTTGAATAATTTATTGCCATTTAATCAATAAAATATATAGTATTAATAAAATACCCAATGCAAAAATATTAAGGTACAACTTTTATTTAATAATTAAAATTAAATTTATAAAAGTACCTCAAAAACTGAAAATCATAACAGTTCTAAAATCAAAAAAAGAAATTATAACTAACCCTTTATAATATTATTTCATAGGATTAATGTCTCGCGTTTTTTCTCAAAACTCTCACATAAAGGGAACCCTTTATTCGTTGTGATTTGATTCCCATTTATTTGCAACGATTTCTTGGGCCCAGAACCCATTTTAGTTTTGGCCAACAGACGACAGCCACATTTTTAATAGCCGCCGCTTGTGTTGAGGCACACCAAAAAGTTGTAAATTTTTGTAAGTGGCTCCCGTCCCGTCAGAACCCGGCCAACTTGAGGCGTTTCAATTGTTTTGAAGATTCCCATCCAGTCATCCTTGTATCTATTTAATGTTACTGTTTTGTCTGAGACTCTTGGCTGCGGCGCTCAATTAACGCTTTTGGTTTATGGGCAAAGAACTTGCGTGGAAATGGGATGGGAGTAGATTAGGTTTGGCTGGTGTCGGCCAACAATTAGAGGCACTCGACCCAATGATGCCAACTCAGCTCAGTCATCATAACGGTAGCTCAGAGCCAATTTCCCCCTTTTTTAACAGCCTTCACCCCCCCGAAATGGCTTCATTTCAGCCCGAGGCAACAACAATAAGTGAAATTTTCACAAGCTTTAGTTGTTTGTTCCTCGCTCCCTAACTGCTTTATATATATGTATATATATGTTATATCTCTGACTTTTTTCTCTCCCTTTTCGAAAGGGGAACTGGTTTGTGGGGATAGCGCTGGAAAAAGTTTTCCACTTTACACAGCGAAGAAGACGCAACTTTGTAAGACCTCCGGTCGTTCCAAACTTCCCCCGAAGCCCTGAGAATTACTGGTCGTTATATACGTATATATAGTGGAAATCTATTTTCGAATGCCAGTCAGTCGGTGGGCGGGATGGGTTGACTGAGTTGGTTGGGATTTTGGGGTGGCTTGTGCAAAAAGTATTTTTCATTACATTTTCCAACATTTCAACTGCGCCTTGCCACCCACTCCCCCTTTTGCGAAAGCAAACCGACGTCGACTTAATTTATAATTACGATAATTTGCGCATTACGTTTTCTTTTGTTGGCCTGGTTCGTCGTGGTCCTCCGCGTTCCGAGGTCCTTGAGGAGGTTTTCCAGGAGGCAAACTTTTGTCGGTTAGTTGGGACTGTGACTTAGGGCCTGATTGGACTGTCTCACTCTTCCCCTCTCTCTCTCTCTCTCTCTGTCTCTGTCTCGCTATCTCTACATTTCCCTCCGCCATTCACCGATCCCCCTGGTTATCTATCCCCATCTTTTCGCCCCCATTTTCCGTTGTCCTTGCGGCTTATCAATAATGTTGATTTCACTCTGTGTCGCATAATTGAATTCTGAAGTTGTTAAGTCACAGCACAGCCAAATTTACGCGGTGGGAATAGGCCAGCCCCCCAGTCGCCCAACCCCCAACCCCCCTGCCACTCTCGAGGGTCCAAGGCTGTTCGTTTGCTGATTGAAAATTTGCCAATTAGAAATAATGAAGCGTGTGACATTAAATGCAAGACAAGCAGCAAATCGGGCCAAGTCCCCAGACCTCACCTCCCCTCCCCTCCCCCCAAAAAAAAATCTCTCAATTTCCCCCTGGGATCACAAGCGGATAGCTCGTTAGAGCTATATACTATATATAGATGTATATGTATGTACCTTGTAATATAGTATTTTTCACTGGTTCAGCCTGCCAATGGCGATAACAAATTTTTGCTTAGAAAGGAAGGAGGAAGCTCTTAAAATCTCATTGCCGCACGCACACACACACTGACACACACACACACACACACACATAGTCGTTAGGCACGGATATCGAAAATTTTCATGTCTTCCTTTAGTTTGTCTTAGTTGGTGAGTTCTCCTCGCAGACGAGAGCAGCCATCATTA